AAAAGTGAATTTTCACCCGTCATGAGACGCATCCAAGGCTATAAACGCAATTAGTGCCTTAGCCAGTCGTTACGATGAAAATATTAAGAAGTCAACAAAATAAATTATTTTTGAGCATTGGTTCCAGAAAAAAATTTTAAAAGTTTTTTGAGCAAGAAAAAAATATTTAGATTTCACAGGGCTTTAGTATAATTATCAATTCGAACATATCGTTCCCAGAACTTAATTTCCTGGAACTTTTGTATGGCTTTAAGTTGTGATAGTAAAAAATCAATACTTGCTTGAAATAAAAGTAAACTTGTTAGTTTATACATAAAAAATATACATTTTATTTGAATATTTTAGTTTTTCATTTTATTGTACACCGTTTTCTAGCAATTTTCGTGCTTGGCACGTGTTTGTAGAGCTCAGTTGACAGACAAATAGTTTTTCGTTGCGCTCGAATTGCCACAGTTACACTTTGTTTGTTTTGAATTTCATTTATTTACTTAGTATGTGACACAGACATGCTACTGCCGTTATGTAAATAAACACACACCTGGATATCGTATACCTGTAAACAAAACAAAATCGATTGGCGTAAAAATTAAAGGGAGAATATTTTGATAGCACGATTTTTAAAGGTTTTGCACTAAAAACTGTGGGGGAATTTTAGAGGTTAATAATCCGAACGAGTGGAAGTTATGAGAAAGGAGCCATAAAAAATATAAATATATAATTAATTTTCTGATAAAATCATCTGTAACCAATCGAGGTATCAGCGACTAAATTGTGGAAGCACAGCTCATTTATACGATTTTTGGTGATAACTCGACTATACAGAATTTCACAAACGAAATCTGTTCTGACCATTTCCTGAGGTTCGTCGTTAATATATCAAGGGTGTTGGTTCCCGAGATTTTAAGTTTTTGTTTCTAAGCGTAATAATAATAATACCCAACGATAACCCTCCTCCCGCCCAACCGACGCGAGAGGCGCAATCCGCGAACGAGCGGAATTAGCCGAGCCATAAAAGGCAAGGGAGTTTTAAGCGTTGCGATCTTAAGCTGCTCAGCTACAGAAACAAAAATTTCAACAGCCAAAATTAAGAACTAGATTAAAGTTTATAATTTTTAAATGTTGTAAAGAGTAAAACTGTTAGATCAAATGTGCTGGAATGAGAATTGAAATCGTGACACATACGGCGGAATGGTTCATTTAACTCGAAATTTGTTCTAGAAAATTTTAAAAGCAAAGGTCTAAACTGCCTGGTAGAGCAAGCTGGAGTGTTAAAATTACAATCAGACAAGAGAGATGGGCTACAGACTGACCCATTGATGAGTTTTACATGAAACATTATACCAAGCATTTCCCTACGACTAGTGAGTGTAGGGAGATTTATGAGTTTTAAACGGTTAGTGTAAAGGGGAAGATTTAAACTGAAATCCCAATGCAAATGATTTAAGGCAAAAAGTAAAAATGGTTTTTGAACGGAAAATATTTTCTCAGAATGAACTTGATAACGAGGGTGTAGGCAACCACTTTCACAATTTCGGAAATTTTTCAAAAATAGGCTAAATATTGAAACCACGCATGTATAGATACGGGTACATACATAAAACAAAATGCTTGCTGTGAGAAAAACGAGCTAACAAAAAAAAAAAAAAAAAAAAAAAAAAAAAAAAAAAAAAAAAAAAAAAAAAAAAAAAAAAAAAAAAAAAAAAAAAAAAAAAAAAAAATAGTGAAAACACATAAAAGCACTTAGCCAACATTATTTAATTTAAATTTCCTGTCAGTGAGGATATCGTATAACTTATTTAAAAGTGCTGGGCAATAAACCCCCCAACCGTAACAACTTAAAGAAACTCGATAGTTAAATAAAATTAGAATCAATGACACGTTAGGGAACAACGTCGGTGAAAACATTATGCCACGAAAAGGAAAGTAAACTTTTGTAATAAAACACCAGCCATTAAATAAGGGAAATAATTCGCTACGCAGCAGCGGAACCGACAAGTAAGTCAATATCTTGAGGGCAACTCACCCCACCGTGGAAAAAGTTGCGGTGGTGGCGGAGAAAGAAGGTGGATAAGCAATAAACAAACATTGCTAAATCATTAAAAATTCATTGGCAACAACATTTTGCTACTAAAATGATAATACTTTTGATGATAATACAATTACTACGCAGCAGAGCAAGAAATTCGAAAGAAAGGAATGACGGATTTTGGAGGCAAGTTTTAATTGAGAGAGGAGATCGTGATAATTATCAGCATCTGTATTAAGGCACAAACAATGAACTTTTAAAAGATTTTAACTATTTTGGAAAAAATGTGCTTTAAATTAAGCGTAGATGAGGCTGAAAAAAATCAAATAATAGAGCTTTGTTACTCGTCTGGGTCTATGTAAGCTTTCAACTTCTCAAGGATGTCAACCACGTTTTAAGACAAGAAGAATACATTTTGAGTGATATGAATAAAGAGAGTATTAATTAAAATTTTAGTATTCTTCAGCAAAATATCATTCTCAATGACCGATGGTGCATTCCAATGCCACTGGTTATATTTTCGTAACCCATACACAAATTTTAAGGGTTTAAAAAAAGGGTTAGAGTTGATAGAAATAGAAATTCAGCCAAGTTCAGCAGCTACTTTTTTGCGGTTTATGCTGTAAGAGATGTGACCAAGAGAAACAAAACTTCGCTAAATAAATATAGGTAACAGTATTTGCTTTCGAAGGGTTTTCGTTTTTGTTTAAAATATGCAAGCCTCTTCACACTCTTTCTTTGGTGGCTTTGCTCATTCGAAAATCTATAAAGTCAACGGTATTTGGATGGCGCAATCTTTTTTTTTATCGTTACTGGGTTAAAACTAAAACATGTTTCTCCCTCTCTATCAATGATTAACTAGTGCAGGGGTACCCAAAACCTATAATCAAAATATTAATCGACAGTAAAGGCAATAAAAATTAGTATAAAATATGGCCCAGAATTTTTCATAGAAGTCGTGTTATCAGTACGGGTCAAAGGAAAAAACTAAACTGGTTTTTGAGATAGCCTACTTTAAGAAGTCCAAGTTCCTTAAGTGAATTCATTGTTAGCCTTTTTAATTATAAAATGTGATCGCTGTCTGGGTTCCCGTCTTTTTAAAGAAAAAACAAAGAAACTTCAAATTTATTGTAAAATCTTTATTATCATTCGAAAGAATATTTTTTAGTAGTTATTTTTTGATGGTTATCTTTTTCAAATGTTGGCTGCGGTTGCGTCTCAGATGGTCCATCAATTGAGTCCAATTTTATATGACTCGTTCGAGCATTAAGACTGCTAGCTGGCGAATGACACACGTGTTGCTTTGTTCCAAAGCCTGAATCGAAGCGAGATTTTCCGCATATAATTACATATATCTATCGACTTTTGATCAAATCGACTATCTGCTGCACCGAAGTGTTCTCTCAATAAATCTTTTGATCGATGCGATGTGCGGGAAGTCTCGTCGTCTTTTTGAAACTCAAATATCGCCGAGATCACGAGCTTCAGTTTTTGGCATGAATGGTTTGGCAGTTACGTTGTCACGTTTTGAAGAAATATGGGCTGTTGATTCCATGATGGCAGCGCTTGGATCTCTTCAGGTTGCTCTTCGTACCAAATGCGGCTATTTTTCTTATTTACGTACATATTGCGCCAGATTCGTGTACACTCTCAGCTACGGCTGCTATATTTTCTTCACTTCTGTTGAACGTGGTCTGTTCGGTCGAATATTATTAAATAATGAATGTTTGGTCTTAAGGTGTGTGATGGTGTTGGGAATAGCACGCTCAGTAGGCCGATTATGGTGACCATAAGTTGAGCGAAGCGCACGAAACACATTCCTTACAGGATGTGAGTTTTCGAAATAAAGTTGAACAACGCTTACACTTCAGGCGTGAAGCCTTCCATGATAAAATGCCAAGCAATATTGAACAAACATTCCATGACTGTTTGGCACAACACATGTTGAGCTATCAAAAAAAGGTTATTGAAAAAGTACCCCTACTTGGATCATCCGTTGTTTGGTCAGTCTGTATTGTTTCTTACTTTACAAATTGCGAGAGTATATATTTTAATTAAGCTTTGATTTTGACTTCTGTTTCCTCTCTATGCGGTTTAGACATAGCCTTCAAGCTCTGTGTGTAAAATTCTTCACTAGCATTCATTTTAAAGAGTTTAAGTTACCACTCTCAATCCATTCGATGAAAATACTGAGGTTTAGTAATAATATTTCATTTTGTTGTGAGACAAAAAACATTATGCGTTTCACTGAAAACATTATTCAATATCCTTATAGTATATAAGAAGTCCAAAGCATTTGTGAGCCATAAACTTATGCTGAGCTAATTTCACAATATTATCACAACTGATAAGCCTCTGTGGTTATCAAAAACAATAACTGTGTCTCTTGAACAGCGCAACCACCAGTTGCATTCAACAGCTTAGCAAATCCACACAATCAGCTGAGAGTTATCTACAATMCAAACACAGGCACTCAAACATTATCTATTATTGAAATATACAGGCAGAGAGTTTGCTTTGTGTATCCTGGAAGTTTGGCGCCTGCGCATCAAACAAACACATTCAAAACTACAGTGGAAGGCGAGTCCCGACACTTGGCATTGCGATCCACAAGCTTCAGCAAGGACTTATAAGCGCCACACCAAGTTTCGCAAAGGCAGCATGCCACCAGTGAAATGTGCTGCTGGTGTTTATAAAATGCTGTCCTGGCGCAAATTGCCGAAACAGTTCCTTACGTGCCGCGAAGTGAAGCAGTCCGAAGCGCTGAGTGCACACGCGTTCAATAGAAATACTGGCAATCACCGTTAACTTACGAAAACTACAGTAAAGAGCGCTACTTGCAAGGGGTATTAAATAGTAAAAAAAATTTACGAAAATTTCTACTTGTTTTTGTTGTTGTGTTTTCCATATTTTCAATTTTGTGCTTTCGTTGACGCTTATTTTTTTAATTTTTTAATTTTTCTCGCTCTTGTTGACAATGTAAACTTCCATAAGCTTAAATGCAACGGCAGCTGTTTGCCGAAGCGTCTGTGTGTTCAGCGCTGCGGTGATAAAAATAAACATAAAACCCGTGTGTGTGTGTGTCTGTGTAATCAAATAAATAAAGTGACAAGAAAAAAGAAACAAAAGCGCGCCACACCAATCGCTTGGCGTGAATTTATTGTCGTTTGTGCAGCAATTGTTATCGCCTGCTACGCGCGTGAAGCTCCGCTGTGTGTTGCCCCAAATTTTATAGCCTACATTCAGGCGCTCAGCTGCTGATTTGCCAACTGTGCGCTTATCTCTGCGAGCGTGTGTGTGTGTGTGTGTGTGAGTTTCGTGAATTTTGGCGCGCAAAGCAAACGTTTTTGCATTGTTATTGTTGTTGTGATTTATTATATGTTACTGTTGTTGCGCTGCAATGTTTATTGCCATTTCGACGCGTTCAATTGATAAGCCAATAAAACGGCTGCCTAACATTCCGATTTGCGTGCGGAGACTGTGAAATTTAACGGAAAGTAAATAAAAGCAACACACTGTTGTGCCGTTTTGTTGTTGTGTTTCGCTGTGTGATCGAATCAACGCCAAGGCTTTGCATTCCTTATCATTTTTCCCCATGAGTGCGTTGACTTGCTTTCAGGCCTTGAGGCTTTCGGGCAGCGAGTGAAAGTGAAATATCAACAATAAAACCGAAATCGTTTGTTTGATAAGTTTCAATTACTCTCGGCAGCGAGTGCTGTCAGTGCTGGCAATGTGTGTTTACATGCGCACATGCACACACACATACATGCTACTCGTGTAGCAGTTAACTCAACGGCGCTGCCAAAACATCAGTGACTCAATCAATTTAATGGAAAGCAATCAAGTAAGTGTTGGAATAATAGCACAGCAAGCTCAATTGAATTTGTTCGGTAAATTGTTGTTGTTGTTGGGTTAGGAGTAATTAATATATACAAAAAAACAAAAAAGGATATATGAGGGTTGGTGACGTTTACTTCCACAATTTTTAGATTTTCAAATTTTCTTGGTACTATTTTTTACAAAAAAAATATTTTTTACGCAAGAGAATTTTTGAATTAGAAAAAAAAATATTTCTATATTACTGGAAAACATTTCGTTCAAAAATCATTGTCACAAAAGTAAATCTTATTTCTAGAGAGAACAAGTAAGTGTGAGCTAAGATCGGTTTTATGCGTTCTTAGCACAAATATGCACCGTTATAAGAAAAACATGCATTCTCAATTTCATTGAGATAACTTACGTGTTTGCCGAATCATCCGGAAGCTCAAAAATTTTTATATAAGGTATATGGAGGTTAAATGTATGGTTAGTAAAGGATTCTCTGGGTATATTGAGTACTTAGGGGTTATAGTAATTCATTCTTGATTTGTGTACTCGAAAGGAAAAAATAAGATGTAATTTTCGCACTGTTTCATAAGAATATTAGGGTTATATTACCGAATTTGGTTAAAATCAAGCAGCAAAAATGTAAATTTACCAAGACTAGGCGAACACGTCAGTATAGAATTATTAATAATAATAATTCAACATTTCCGAAAGTAGCCTAATGGTGCTAAATCACAACTTTTTGGATGGCACTCTGTTTGTGACATTGACCAAGTTCTTCAAATAATCGAATCTCCAGACCTTCCTCGCAATAATTCTTTTGTTGCAAGTACTGTCTATCACGCAGCCCCGCCTTGTCGGAACCAGAAGTTGATCAACTTCTTCCAGTTGAAAACAAAAAAACAAAAAATTTTGATTATAATCGATCTACAGCGCTCTCCATTGAAAGTAACGGTGACTCCAAATTCCTTTCAAAAGAATTACGGACCGATGATTCCACCAGATTTCGAGAAACACGCGTTTAAAAACAACGCACTTAGCCTAGCACGCCACGAGAGCAACAGTTCTCAAGACAGTATCTCCGAAACTATTACTCAGATCAACTTGAAAATTTATAGCATTGTTACAGTGGTGTTCTAGAATTTTAGAAGAAAAACAAAAAAACAATCGATTTTTTGAAGCCCGTTAACCCATGTAATTCCTTAAGCCCTTCAATTAATTGATATCATTATTAGAGAAGTAGAGAACTAACTAAAACCACACCAAACTGTCAATTTAGGTGAATGTAATGGTTGTTCATGAACAATTTGTGGATTTTCTTCGCACCAGAATCAACAGTTTTTTTTATGTACCGCATTACTCAGATAAAAGTAAGCCTCATCGGAGAAGATTAGTTTCGTAAAAAGTTGTTATCGTTTACAAGTTGCTCCAAGGCATGATCAGCAAATTGATGCTTTGTACGGTGGTCTAATGGAGAGAGAACAATTTTGTAAGGATACAAGCCCAAACTCTTTCCCAAAATCCGTAAGGTTATACTTTAAGACAGTACCAATTTTTGAAAGTGTCTTGAAATCAACAAATTGTGGTCTTTAGCAACATTGCCTCAACGGAAGGAATATATTTATTACTTCGAACGGTTTTTGTCTTATTGGGACTTGAATATAATGCAAAGAAAATATACGCTCGAACTTGAAAATACTTCGACGAATATCGATCACAGATGGACGATTATTTTGACCATAAATGGGAAAAGCGCACGAAAAGTTGCAATTAGGGAACGATTATTTTGATAATACGTTCTCGACCCTTTTTAAATAATTTGTACAAATCAAAAACACTTTCTTGCGACAAATGTTACCAGCGTAGGCCTTCTCCAACATTCTGACCGTTTCGCCACCAAAAATTTTATTTCGCATACAAATTTTATGGAACTTCTTTCATTCAACGAAAAACTCGCCGAACAAGCGTAATTATTATTTTTTTGATCTTTATCACTGGTATCACTGACAATCATACCAACCTAAAAAAAAAAATATTTCGGCGAATTAAAAAGTGCCAATATTTTTTGCACATATATTCTAAGCTTATGCTTGCAAATGCATATGTATTTGATAAATTGGAGTTTTTAATTTCAAAAATTTACCAAATGAACAATTTGGATTTAGACAGTTTCACAGTACAACGCACCAGATTAAACGTATCTCTAATCATGTAAAGTCAAACTTCGAAAACAAAAAGTCAACCGATCTAATATTACTGGACGTTGAAAAAGCATTTGACACAGTGTGGCATAATGGTCTTATACATAAATTAGTTAATTTTCACTTTCCATTGCATCTTGTAAAAATAATTCAAAGTTTTTTGACCAATCGCTATTTTTGTGTGTGTTTAAATAATGAATACTCCGACATGATCCAACTACCGGCTGGAGTTCCGCAGGGATCAGTGCTTGGCCCCTTGTTGTATACACTATATTGTTCCGATTTCCCAAGAATTGAAAATTGTCATTATGCTATGTATGCCGACGACACTGCAATTTTCTATTCGCACGAGTTTGGCAATGACGTAGTAACTACGTTACAGGGTGCACTATTCCACATTTCAAACTACATGAAAAGATGGAAAATCAGAATTAACGCTAGTAAAACACAAGCTATCTTTTTCACTAGAAAAAGGAGTCCYTGMTATTTACCAAGCTCAAGGCTCAAACTGGAAAATCACGAATTACCTTGGGCCAGCTCTGTGAAATATCTTGGTGTTACTTTKGATAAAAAACTTACATATAGTGAACATATAAAACACATACAAGAAAAAGTCAACATAGCTATAAAAATGCTGTACCCTTTGATTAATAGAAAGTCTAGTATGAGCAAAAAAAATAAATTAGTAATCTATAAAACAGTTTTCCAATCCATAATTTTATATGCTTGCCCTGCATGG